GTCCCCATTGGAAATCATCTGTTTTCTTCAGTAGCTTAAAGAAGGGCATCCCCCGCTCGCCAAGTCTCGAAACAAATCGGCTGAGCGCCGCCATGCATCCAGTCAGCTTCTGAACATCTTTCTGGGTACTTGGCGGTTTCATGTTGAGGATAGCAGTAACTTTCTCCGGGTTGGCTTGGATACCCCTGTGAGACACCATAAAACCAAGCAGCTTCCCTGACGGTACTCCGAAGGTGCACTTTTCAGGGTTTAATTTCATCCTGAAAGCGCGGATGCTCGCGAAGGTTTCTTCTAGATCCGAGATTAAATCATCCTTTTGTTTGGTCTTGACGACTACATCATCCACATAGGCTTCAACGTTGCGGCCGATCTGCGTTGAGAAGCATCTCTGGATCATACGTTGATAAGTTGCTCCTGCGTTTTTTAGTCCGAACGGCATGGTGACATAGCAGTATGCTCCAAAGGGCGTGATGAATGAAGTCTTCAAGCAGTCGGATTCCTTCAGTCGGATCTGATGATACCCCGAGTAGCAATCCAAAAAACTGAGAAGCTCACAGCCGGCGGTCGAGTCGACTACCTGGTCAATGCGAGGCAACCCAAAAGGATCTTTAGGGCAAGACTTGTTGAGGTCAGTATAATCAACACACATGCGCCATTGCCCCGTTTTCTTCCGAACTAGAACCGGGTTTGCCAGCCAGTCGGGATGATGGACTTCTTTGATGAAGCCTGCCGCTAACAGCTTGGTTAATTCCTCCTTGATCGCGTCCTTCCTGTCTTGTGCGAATCGGCGGAGTCGTTGTTTGATAGGCTTGGCATCTTCTTTGACATGTAAGGAGTGCTCAATCACCTCTCTAGGAATACCGGGCATATCAGATGGTTTCCACGCAAAGATATCTTTATTGTTCTGAAGAAAGGTGATGAGCGCGCTTTCCTATTTACAATCTAACTCGGCGCCTATTACAGCAGTTTTAGTAGGATTAGAAGGATCTAGGGGAATCTTCTTAGTCTTGGCTTCGCTTTCTCCACTTTTTGAAGTCTTGGTAGCGGGCACTTCTCCTTCGCTCGCCGTGGCTGCAGCCAGTCGGATATCCTCTCGGGCAGACGCCATCTCGCGGGTTTGGGCCATGTCGCAACTCTCCTTGTCGCATGTGACGGCTTGCTTGATGTCGCTCCGTAGGGATAGGACTCCTCGGGGACCAGGCATCTTCATCATCATGTAAGTGTAGTGCGGGACGGCCATGAACTTGGCTAACGCCGGGCGTCCGAGTATGGCATGGTATGCTGTCTCAAAATCGGTGACTTCAAAGCTGATATTCTCTGTGCGGAAGTTTTCCCGAGTGCCAAAAGTGACCGGGAGGGTGATCTGGCCGAGTGGAGTTGCGGATAATCCTGGAATTACTCCGTGAAAAGGCGCATTGCTTGGTTTTAGCTTGGAGCGAGGAATCTGCATATCATCCAAGGTCTTGGCGAAGAGGATATTGAGTGCACTGCCTCCGTCGATGAGGGTTCTGCGAAGCTTGACATTACGGACCACTGGGTCTAGTACCAGGGGGTACCGCCCCGGGTGGACCACTCGGTCAGGATGATCCGAGCGGTCAAACTTGATTGCAATCTCTGACCATCGAAGATATTGGGGCGTGTCGGGCTGAACAGCATTGATCTCCCGTTCGGTCAACTTTTGCTTCCTTTTAGACTCATAAGCCAGGGGGCCGCCGAAGATATGGTTGAGCTCCTTGCGGTGGTCTTGAAATCCTACCGGGGTGTCGCCGTCGTCCTTCTTCCTCGACGTGCTTTGTTCTTCGTCGGAGTTCTTCCGTGTAGTCTTGGTGTATTGCTCCGCGAATTGCTTGTAGACGAAACAATCTTTGGCCACGTGGTTGGAGTTAGGATGGTGCGGGCATTGGGAGTTCATGATCTTGTCGAACGTGTTGACGCGCGAACGCTGTCGAGAAGAGTGAATGGCGGTTGCAACAAGTTCCTCAGGCTTACGCTTGCGGTCCTTATGATTGTTACTTCCACCTCCTCCCGTAGCCGGCGTATCCTTTTTTGGCTTCCAACTGGGACCCGACTGCTTTGATGCGGTGACGGCGTCTTCGGCTTTGGCGTACTCGTTGACTTTTTCAAACATAAGTTTGACTGTCCTGGGAGGTTTACGCCCGAACTTGCCGACCAATTCTTCGTGGCGAATCCCTTTGGTGAATGCGGCGATGATAACGTCGTCGGTGATGTCGGAGATCTTGTTACGTTGTTCAGAAAATCGCCGGATGTAATCTCGAAGGGATTCTCCGGACTTCTGAACAACGTTGTAGAGGTCGAATTGTGTGCCGGGACGCTCGAAGGTGCCTTGGAAGTTGGCGATGAAGTGGTCGCGTAATTCGGCCCAAGATCCAATCGTACCACGGGGCAATCCATGGAGCCAAGATCGGGCGGAATCCGCTAAAGCCACTGGTAAATAGTTCGCCATGGCCTTGCTATCTCCTCCTGCTGCGCGGATCGCGAGACCGTAGACGGTAAGCCACGATTCTGGGTTGGTGGTACCGTCGTACTTCTCTATTCCAGTCGGCTTGAAGCCGGCTGGCCAATCCACTCGACGCAGGTCGTCGGTGAAGGCTGCTACTCCATCAAGGTCGTCGTCGTGGCGGTCCGGCGAATGATGATGGCCTCGAGCTGCTCGGCGCTGTATGATTGTGTCGCGAAGATCGACGGGGCGGCGACGAGGTGGTGAGCGAGGCCGTTCCACTCGGCGCTCCCTATGATGGTCGGGAGGCGAATGAACGGACCGCTCGTCGTGACCCCTGCTCCTGCGATTGGATCCTGCGCCAGTGATGCTGAGGCTTGGATGACGGTAGTCATGAGATCGGAAGTGGGGGAGTCGGCTGCCAGTCGGCGTGCGGACGCTTTCGGAGTTAACTGGGACCGAAGCCGCAATCATGGTCTTTGTCTGGTTCAAGATGTTGACGACGTGATCAGATTGATTGAGCTCGTTTTCCTTGAGGAGGGTGTCGAGGAGGGTGATCGCGGCAACCGCATTCTGTTGAGGGGTGCGGAAAACCGGTGTCCCTTCAACATCTTGTTGGCCGTTGAAATCACGCGCTCGGTGCCCTGCTTCCAATGCTCGCTGCCGTCGGTCCTCAGCCTCCTTCGCGGTTCGCTCACGCTCCTGCTGCTCACGCCGTAGCCGTTCTTGTTCTTGTGCTTGACGCTCCTCCTCCAGTCGGCGACGCTCAGTCTCGCGACGTGCTTCGGTTTCCCGGGCTTGGCGTTGCTCCTCCGTCTCGTTATCGGCCATGAAGACGCCGAAGTAGAGAGGGGTGTAGTTGTCATCTAGGCTTCCGTCGAAGTCGTCGAGATCCGGGTCGTTGTAGCGAGAGCTAAACTCGTCGTACTCTACGATGTCGGTGGGACGCGAGTCGACGGTGGGAGAGCTGTAGTAGCCATCCAGCTGATCCGTCGAAACCGTGCCGAGTGGTTGGAGGATGACGCCGACTTCCCTGAAGCTAGGCGAAATCGGTGTTGAAGCCGACTTCCGCCTAGGCCTACGGGATGGAGACGCTGTCGTGATGGAGACGGCCGCCAAATCGTCGGGGAGCTTCATCAGGATCGGTGGGTAAGCCTCATCATCTTGATCTGGTGACATTGGAGAAGATGCGATCTCGCCCGAGTGGTTTGAAGCCAACTCGATTGAGATGGTCTTGAAGTAACTTTCAGCCGCGTTTGGGAGTCCAAACGGGACTGAAATCCGGTTCTCTCCCGACTGGTCTGACTCCGAGTCAAGGAGAGAGATCTTGCCGAAGTTGTTGGTGACGAAGTCGAGGCTGCCGAACCGAAACGTCTGCCCGGGTGGGAAGACGAGGTCGTCGATGCCGGAGACGGAACCCATTGCACTGATCGGCGAAAAGCTTGACGCCCCCCTACCTGGCGCGCCAACTGTCGAAACTAGATTTCGGCAATAATAAAAGGGGGTGGCTATCAAGCTGGAGAAGTGAATGGGTTTGGAGACAAAGGATTTATACAGGTTCAGGCCTTCTTATTCAAGAAGTAATACCCTACTCCTGTCCGGGGATGAATCCGCCGAGTATCTTATTGATTGTATGATTTGGAGAAAATCAACACATGCCCCTAGAGGCACCCGGACCCCCCTTATATATGGGAAGGAGTCCGTGTTACAAAAGATAATCTATATCCCTAACGGAATATGCAGATACAGATAAAATACAGTCGTAACCGACTAAGTCTCAAGGTATTTCCTTGATGTACAAGTTGAGAAACAAACCCGAGATACAAATAAGATATTCTATCTATATTCGGTATCCTATATTCAGTCCAAATATCATCGCCGTGTAGATATGAGATATCCATAATCTCCACACTACTCGTGAACCACAAAATGATAGAGAGGCCACAAAATAATAGAGAGGCTCTAGGAGATAAAAACTGGATAGCTGCAATGCAAGCTGAGTATGATGCTTTGATAAAAAATAATACATGGCACCTAGTTCCGTATGAGAAAGGACAAAATATTATTGGGTGTAAATGGGTATATAAGATTAAAAGAAAGGCAGATGGAACACTTGACAGATACAAAGCTAGACTTGTAGCAAAGGGCTTTAAACAAAGATATGGTATTGACTATGAGGATACCTTTAGTTCTGTTGTTAAAGCTGCTACTATTAGAATCATCCTGTCTATTGCTATTTCTAGAGGTTGGAGTCTTAGACAGCTAGATGTTCAAAATGTCTTTCTTCATGGATTCTTACAAGAAGAAGTCTATATGCAACAACCTCCTGGTTTTGAGTCATCCTCTAAACCTAATTATGTATGTAAATTGGATAAAGCATTGTATGGTTTAAAACAAGCAACAAGGGCATGGTATTCCAGGCTGAGTAAGAAACTTGTTGAACTTGGTTTTGAAGCTTCAAAGGCCGATACTTCATTATTCTTTCTTAACAAAGGAGGGATAATTATGTTTGTATTGGTTTATGTTGATGATATAATTGTAGCTAGTTCTACAGAGAAGGCAACTACAGCACTTCTGAAGGATTTAAACAAGGAGTTTGCACTTAAGGATTTGGGTGACCTGCATTACTTCCTTGGAATTGAGGTAACTAAAGTTTCCAATGGTATTATTTTGACTCAAGAGAAGTATGCTAATGATTTATTAAAAAGAGTTAATATGTCAAACTGCAAGCCAGTTAGTACTCCTCTCTCTGTCAGTGAAAAATTAACTTTATATGAAGGATCACCCTTGGGACCTAATGATGCAACACAATATAGAAGTATAGTTGGTGCTTTACAATACTTGACCTTGACTAGACCTGACATAGCTTATTCAGTAAATAAAGTTTGTCAGTTTCTTCATGCTCCTACTACCCGTCATTGGACAGGAGTAAAAAGAATTCTCAGATACTTGAATCAGTGCACAAGTCTAGGACTTAATATACATAAGAGTGCGTCTACTCTTGTTCATGGATATTCTAATGCAGACTGGGCAGGTAGTATAGATGACAGAAAATCAACAGGAGGATTTGCTATATTTGTGGGGTCTAATCTTGTGTCCTGGAGTGCTAGGAAACAATCCACTGTGTCAAGGTCGAGCACTGAGGCAGAATATAAGGCTGTGGCGAATACTACAGCTGAGTTAATGTGGGTACAAACCTTGTTAAGAGAATTGGGAATTGAGTCTCCTAAAGCTGTCAAGATTTGGTGATAACTTAGGAGCCAAATATTTATCAGCTAATCCTGTGTTTCATGCAAGGACAAAGCATATAGAGGTTGATTATCATTTTGTAAGAGAACGAGTGTCACATAAGCTTTTAGAGATTGATTTTGTTCCTTCAGGAGATCAAGTTGCTAATGGGTTTACAAAGTCACTGTCAGTTCCTTCAGGAGGGGCTGTGAAACAACCTAACTCTATCCTGTGCGTGGTGCATGGCGCATGCATGCGATAATGGCGCACTACTGGAGATGGGAAGGCTCCCGTGTGCATGCGAATATTACCGGGTGTTTCTCTGAACACACGGTAACTTACCGTGAGTAGAACAATAAACTCGGGAACCATCAAGCGCTTACCGTGTGTTAGAGATGACTCACGGGAACACCGGAATCCACCTACTTTCCGTCTGTGCGCGTCAAACTCTGTTGGCGCGAGTAGTATTTTTCTCTTTGGCGCGAACGGATTTCTTTTGGCGCGCGCCTAGCTCCGTTTGGCGCGGCCCAATTTTTCGCTGGCGCGAAACAGAAGGGGTGTTCCCGTGTTTTTTTTTCATTCAGCGCACGGGAAGTGAGTGATGGCCCACATGTCGATTGGATAAAAAAAAGAAAAAGGAAAACAAATCCTAACCCTAAAACCCCACCGGCTCCCACAGCCCACGCCGCCACAGTCCCAAACACCTCGCCACTGCTGCCCTTCTCCTTCTCTCCCTCCTCGCGGCACCTGCGCGCCGCCCCTTCCTCGCCGCACCTGCGCCGCCCCCTTCCCTCGCCGCACCTGCGCCGCCCCCTTCCCTCGCCGCACCTGCACGCCGCCCTCTTCTCTCCGCACCTGCACGCAATCTGCCCAACATCAAGGTATGTGATTGTCGAATGTTGGCTAGCTTGTATAGTCTCTTGATGTTTGATGAAGAAATAAGAAAGGAGAAATTAATCCCTTTGTTCTCTGGATTTATCAAATAAGAAATATAGTCTCTTGATTATTGCTTCAGTAATCTCATGTTTTGCTTTAGATCGTAGACTAAAATGCTTGTGTCCTCTAGCAGTCTTTTTAGCTTTAGGATTTTAATGTGATGGCATGCTGTTATTTCTGAAGTAATTCTGACCTACCAATACTTGTGAAGTTGAAGAAGTATTGCAGTTGTATACTGTTCCTATTTAGCCTTGCAATTCTAGATTGTTTTGGTGCCTATGGATGTCCTGCCTGATGTTCTATTAAAGGATGTGTTTTTGGTGCCTTTCTTCTTGTAACAAGAGATGATTGTTATATCCTGTCGGGATGGTTATGTGCTTGGGTTTCAGTTAGATGTCTACTTTTGGGAGTTTGGTGGAGGGAAACATCTGTAGTCCTGCTGTTAGAAAGCTTGCAATCCGAGCATCTGTTTGTTCTATTTGTTTGACCTTTTCGTGTAAAGGGTCTATGTTTGGGCTTTTCCTAAAGCCGTGCAATCAAAAATTGTTTGTTCTCTAAATATGCTGAAATGTTTTGCAGGAGGATGCGACGATTAAGCTCGGGCTCTAGAGGGGCCTCCAGTTCTGCAGATGGTTCAGCTAGTGCTGCCATCTCATCTAGGAATAGGACAAGGTCATCTTCCTCTCAGCAACCTACTGATCCTGTTCAAGAAGAGGAGCAGGAAGATGATGAGTTCTGGTTTTGTGGCCCTACAAGGGTGCCACCACGACCTACACGAGAGGAGGATAAACCTGTGCTTAGGCCAATAGGGGATATGTAAGTGTGTTGCTTGTGCTATATATTGCTGTTATTTCAAGTATGAAGCTAATATCTAGCTTTTGGTTGGGATTTGTGCAGGCAATGGGAGGTACAAGATTATGGTCAGAGTACTAGAGTCCCCAATGGTATCCTGACTACATTGATAAAAGAAAATTTCCCTGGTGTGGTGAAATTCAAGGGTAGAGATGAGCCTGCATGGTCTCCGGAACATTACTTGCTTAAACCTGATAATGCAAAAGCTAATCAAGCACGCTTGCCAAGCCTCCTCCATCGCGTTGAGGAAGAATTCTGGGTATTTCTTTACCAACTTAGTTTCTTTCAAGTTACATAGATCATGTATTGTTTGGTTAACTTTTGGTAGTTGCAGGGGTTCTATAGGTGGGCAGAGGGGACAGAAGTGGAGGCTAGAAGAGTTGTGCACAACTGCGTCAAGAAACTCTTTGTTGATATATTCTATGAGGCTCGTATCCTAGCTGTGATTACTTATCACAAGAAGATTCTGAAAACAGATATAGATCGGCCAACTGCTTGCAGGACTTATCTCACAAAGGCGGAGTATATGAAAGTAAGCTCGCTTGAACAAGAAAATGTTATTAGATGCTTAGCTTTTGAACATATTAGTGACTAAGCGCAAGTTTGTTTGTTATAGGCTAAGCCATGGTGGTTCCTAAATGCTGGTCGTGCGTGGGCATTATTGTCAGATTTGAGGTGGTGCAATCCAGAATGGCAGGCTTACTCCCGTGCTTGTAGCGAACGCAGGGCAAAGATGAAAACGCCAGCCCATCGCCAAGGCAGTGCTAACCTTCATCGTTACCACAAGAATTTGGTTCGTTAGTTTTTCTTAGACATAATACCAAGACCTGCATAGCTTTAGACTTTAATTGTACGGTGTTCATTGAATTGCAGCAGCACATTATTAATAGTGTTAAACTATTTATTTTGAATGTAGGAGAAGAAAATGGGCACACCAGTGCATGTATTGAAGGCTTATGCTCATGCCAATAGGGTAGACCCAGACGAGGGCTACTGTGATGAAGATTCATCTCAGAATATGTTGCTCGTAAGTGCCTTACACATTGAAATTTGTGTTGTACTACTCTATTGTCTACATTCCATTTGGTTAACTGCCATTTTCATTTGAATCTGTAATAGGAGGCCTATGCTCGCGCTTTTACTGAGAGGCACGGAGAAGACAGTAATTGGCGGACTGAACCCATTGATGGTGTGGCTGTGCACATGGCTGGTGGTGGCAAGAAACATGGACGCTTCTTCCTGCTTAATGGACTCCTTAAGACACCAGATGTTCTTGCTGATGTTGGGAGAAGCAGGTGCTCACTTGATGATCCACGGCCTAGCAGACGGCTGAGGCCAAACCCTGATGATAGTGCCCGGATTGAGGAGCTTGAGCGTCAACTTCAGTGTGAGCGTGAGGAGAGGGAGCAGGAGAGGGAGCGGGCACGCGAGGAGAGGGAGCAGGAGAGGGAGCGGGCACGTGAGGAGAGGGAGCGGGCACTTGAGGAAATGGAGCGGACACGCAAGGAGATGGAGCAGGAGAGAGAGCAGGCACGTGTGGAGCGGGTACGTGAGCACGAGTTGTTCCAGGAGAAAACAAGCTATTTTACATGTGCTTTGGAGGTAACTGGTAGTATCCTGTTTACACAACTGTCCGCATTGTTTGCTGCTGAATCAATTAATTGTGAGTGCCTTGAACTGGTGATAATTTTAACCTAAAACATTGTCTGAATAAATTGCAGGTACTGCAAAGAAAGCTCAACATAAACTTTCTGCCTCCTTGCACACCTACGTTGACTCATCCGGTGAGTGTAATGTTGCAGGATAGACATGTCCTGTATGATTAATACAAACTTGTTGTTTGTTTTCTAACAAACATTGCTAATTCAGGCTACATCTGGATCTGAAGTCTCTATTGGAAATCCAGTTACCACCACTGAGTGACTGGTCCATGAGCCAAATATCCCAGTGCAAGTTAACCTGGATGTTGGTGCCAGTAATAGCAGGCAGCAGCTTTAGGCGTGCAGTATCTGAAAATCGCTCTTCACCGAAAGAACTAGAAATTGGGAAGTCTTTTGTGATACCAGAAACTTGTGGGTGTTTTGGTGTGATGTAACTGTGAAGTAGGACTGTGCCAAGTCCTGTTTGTTCTGGTGTATGTCCTGGTTGTTGTGATGGGCTCATGTTGGTACCCATTGGTTGTTCCCACTAATTATCTGTAGGTTTGTTGAGCAGTACTAATTGGTACCAGCTGATGAGGTAGTATATTTTGTGTAGTCGTTATCAGCTGATGAAGTTGTATATTTTGTGTATGCCTAACGGTGCTGTGCGCTGTGGTGAGATGCACATTTAGTGGTGGTAACTTAAGTACTTTGTAGGGAAGAACCTATGCTGATGGAAAGTATTAATGAAGCTTATGAACTTCATTATGTTATGCGCATGGAATTTGATTCTCAGAAAGATGTAAATTGATTTGGAAAATGTTGATAGCCAGATGTGGTGTTGAGACCATGTCAAACTTGTCTGCACAATACTGGCTCAATCTGAAATCACAGTGACATGGTTTTCAATTCGACACTTGATCATAGTTTACAAATATGGTTACGTGTGAATATTGAACACGGTGAATTTGCAATTAACCAAGTGGCTATAGAAAGTATAGAAAAATGTGGAAAGTAGTGGAAAGTAATTTATAAATATCTATATTTTGGATTTAACATCTATCTATTAACTTATTTAAGGAATAGAAAAAAGAGCCTTAACGTTCGCTTTCACGGCCTAGAAATTCTCATATTAATTAGAGAAAAAGAAAAACAGAGTCCATATAGAAATACAATTTAGAAATAGTTGAAATTCGGAGAAAATATAATGATGCTAGCGACGCAATCTGCGCGGGCCACCATGCTAGTTACAAATATTAGGAGAGTCCATAGGGTTTCAATGTGAGGATCAAGTTATCAATAGAGTAAATTTGACACCGCGGTATTATAGTTATAGTTGCAAAAATCTAAAAGGGTTTTGATAAAGTTGTTAGTATCGAGATTCTAGTTAGTATTGTTTTTTTTTCCTAAAGTAGTATTGAATTGTATAATTGAATTATTTTATTTTCTTTTTAACTTTTTAAAATTTTGAACTGTAACAATCGCAATGTAAGCCGTGTCAATGTTGTTTTGCGACGCCAGGCAGATTGGCGTGGTTAAAAGGTTCATATTTTAGAAATAAGTTCAAAAATAAAAAAAATCTCGTAGGATCCTACAAAATATAGTAATATTGTTTCGATGGAAACTATCAGTATACTGATTTTTGTGCGCTTCTAATTATTCTATGCTTCGTATCCCGACACTAGAGCGATACCACCCGAAAACGATACTACAACCGACACGTGTCGTTTTACCCGGATAATATCGTACGATAATGACGTATCCCAATACCGTTAACCTTGGGTTTTGATAAGTACTAAATAACAAAAACGAAATTAGTCAATGATATGATATCTAAACTAGTTGATTAGAATAAATATATTTAGAGAATCTTATCAAATGATATTTTAGCAAATAAAAAACATTTTTAGTTGTTCTCATAAATCATAGATGTTATCTAATCATTATTACAAAGGCACAAATTAATTATTATACACAGGGGAATGTATAATAATGAAATACTGTAGAAGTCAAACTAGTTGATTAGAATGAATAGTAACGAAATAGAAATAGAACTAGTTAAGATAGAAACAGAAATATGTAATTTTTCTGTACTGCAGGTAAATATGACACAGTGGCCCACAATGTCAGAAATCCCCCCGCCATATGTTTCTCTACTGCAGCTTGTTCTATCAGCCGAACACGCTTTCCCCAATTTTGTTTTCGCGCGAACTCCCTCACAGCCAACCCTAGAATCGATTCCGCCGCCGCCCACCTCTTTCCTCTCCCGCGCGCGGCGCCTGCCTGCAACGCGACCGGCTGCTTTCTCCAGCTTCAACGCCGTCGGCTGCCTTCTCCGTCCGTCCGGATTGCAGCCACCTTTCTTCTCGGAGACCCTCCGTCAGCCCCGTTTTCTTGGCCTGCGCGGTCGTCAGCCTCCTTCGTCGGAGTCGCAGGCCCCTCTCCTGCTGGGAGCCTCCGCGCGGAGCGCAGCCGCAGGACGCCCTCATCGGCCGCAACGACGCTGCTGGCCACCATCGCCATCTGGAGCACTGGAGCCTGTGGCCTCTCCTGAAAGAACACTGTGTAAGTGAGCAGTAGCCATTTTTATTTTTCTCTCTTTCTCATTCCCAAAAATTCAATATATGAATCAACCCTTAGTTTTTGTTTCGTTGTATTTCTTTGCAGCAAAAAAGGATGGAAGAGGATCGCAGTTGGATGTACAATGGACGTAGAAAGCGTAATCAGGTTAGTGCTGATTGGATTTTAAAGACTACAGATTTTTTAGATCGGGCATTCAGTAGGGACACAAGTGGTGATGGTGTTATGTGCCCATTTGTAACTTGTGAGCATACAAAGACACAGGCACACACAAAACAATGGGATACAATGATGAAACATCTTTTTAAGCATGGGTTTAGGCCGGAGTACACTGTGTGGGTTTACCATGGCGAGTCTGACTCAGACCCTACACGCGATGATGTGCTCCGGCAACGTACTTTTGATGAAGATGGGGATGCTGAGGTTCATCGGATGGATGACATGGTAGATGATGTGCGTGATGCACATATATCAGTTGAGGAGGAAGAACCGGAACCTATAGCACGAGCTTTTTATGAAATGTTGACTGCATCAAATCAATCTCTCCATGCACACACAGAAGTATCTCAACTAGATGCCATCACACGGTTACTAGCAGTGAAGTCTCAATTTTCCATATCCATTGCAGGGTTTGATGCATTGTTGAATGTGTTTGGTGCTCTCCTTCCACAAGGCCACAAGCTACCTCTCAATTTATATGAGGCTAAGAAATTTCTAAGTGCACTGACCATGCCATATGAGAAAATAGATGTATGCCCAAAATATTGCATGCTCTTTAGAGAGGAAAATTCAGAGAAGACCCATTGTGACAAGTGTGGTGAGAGTAGATATGTGGAGGTGCAGAACAGCTATGGTGAAAAGAAGCAACTAAATATTCCAATGAAAGTCCTTCGTTATATACCATTCATCCCAAGACTTCAACGGTTATACATGTCTGAACCACAAGCCAAGCAAATGACTTGGCACAAGTATGGCCATAGGTACCATCCTAACAAGATAGTACACACCGCTGATGCTGAAGCATGGAAGCAATTTGATCGCGACTTTTCGGAATTTGCATCAGACGCTCGGAATGTTAGGATTGCAATAGCAACAGATGGGTTTAATCCATTTGGTATGGGTGCTGCCTCCTACACCTGCTGGCCTGTGTTTGTCATCCCTCTCAACCTTCCACCTGGTGTTTGCATGCAGAAACACAACATGTTCCTTAGTTTGATTATCCCTGGACCTGATTATCCCGGCAAGAAAATTAGTATGTACATGGAGCCTCTAGTTGATGACCTACTCCATGCCTGGGAGCATGGTGTGCAGACATATGATCGGGCCACTAAACAGAATTTTAACATGCGGGTGTCATATTTATTCTCGTTCCATGATCTTCCAGCCTATGGGATATTTTGTGGGTGGTGTGTACATGGTAAGATGCCATGTCCAGTCTGTATGGAGGTGCTTAAAGGAAGACGGCTGAAGTTTGGTGGAAAGTACTCCTTCTTTGATTGCCATAGACAATTCCTTCCTCATGGTCACATTTTTAGAAATGACCCAAACTCTTTTCTTGCAAATACTACTGTTACGACTGAACCACCTCATCGGTTCAAAACTGAAGAGGTTCATGTTCGCTTGCAACGTCTGCAACCTGCTGCCAATGGAGAGGGGTTTGAAGGTTACGGTGAGGATCACAATTGGACACACATTCCAGGCTTGTGGAGGCTCCCATACTTCCATAAATTAGTACTTCCTCATAACATTGATGTCATGCACAATGAAAAAAATGTTGCTGAGGCAATATTTAACACTTGTTTCGATATACCAGAGAAAACGAAGGATAATGTGAAGGCTCGACTTGATCAAGCAATACTCTGTAACCGACCTGATCTTAACATGATCCGGAGGCAAACATCTGGGCAGTGGTTGAAGCCAAGAGCTGATTTTTGTTTGAATAGGACTCAAAAGAAGGAAATATTAGAATGGTTTCAAACACTCAAATTCCCTGATGGGTATGGATCAAACCTAAGGAGAGGAGTGAACTTCAAAAAGATGCGAATCAATGGGTTAAAAAGCCATGACTACCACATAATGATGGAACGCCTTTTACCAGTCATGTTCCGTGGCTACTTTCAACCTTATTTGTGGGAAGTGATAGCGGAGTTGAGCTTCTTTTATCGTAAATTGTGTGCAAAAGAGGTAGATCCAATTGAGCTTGAAAGCATGGAACTTCAAGTGCCTGTTTTGCTTTGTAAGTTAGAAATGATCTTTCCATCCGGATTTTTTAATCCAATGCAGCATCTAATTCTTCACCTACCATACGAAGCAAGGATGGGAGGGCCAGTACAGTACCGATGGATGTATCCAGGTGAAAGAGACCAAAAGGATCTTAAGAGCAAAGTAAAAAACCGAGCTCGTGTTGAAGCATCTATAGCAGAAGCATATATACTAGATGAAATCGCAAACTTCACAACCATATACTTTGCTGATCAAGTGTACACAGTTCACAATCCAGTCCCTCGGTACAATGTTACTGTTGAGTCGAGAGAATGCTCACTTAGCCTCTTCTCTATTAAGGGTGATTCTACTAGCCGAGGAGTCACTAGACACTTAACTGAAGTGGAGTGGGAGGCTGCCATGTTGTACGTCCTCACAAACCTGCCTGAAGTGGATGACTACGTTGGGTAAGCACTTTATTTGGGTCACATCCAGTTCATAGCATGAAATAATTTATCCTTTCTTGACATGCATGAGTTCTGTGTTTACAGGAAATTCTTACATGAGGAGTGGAGTAGACGAGGCGAGCCAACAAGACAGCAAAAGGAGAACCTCTTACGGAATGGTGCTAGGAATGGTTGTCCTAATTTCGTAACCTGGTTCTACCAACAAGTAATTCCTCAATTTCAATATTCAACTTGAACATCTAATTTCTGCACCTGTTAATAACTATAATTCATCAAAATTATTTCACTTCACTTGTAGAGTCTTATAGACATGAATATGAATGATGATCTGAAGCAAGTAGCTAAAGGATGCCATACTAGAGTGAAGACCTATAGTATTTATGATGTGAATGGCTATCGATTCCGTACAAATAAATATGAGAAGGAGAGGCCAAATGCAACCACCATAAATAGTGCTTGGTGACAATAGGACAAGGAGAAAATAGTGATATCACTGATTATTATGGCTACATCAAAGAAATAATTGAACTTAGTTTTCATGGTGATAGTGAACTCACTCTTGTGCTTTTCAACTGCCATTGGTTTGACCCTGCCCAAACAAGGTACACCCCACAGTATGGTTTAGTGGAAGTTGCCCATTCATCAACACTTGCAGTGTATGAGCCATTTGTTGTAGCTCATCAAGCCACACAAGTTTATTACATACCATACCCATGCAAATCTGTACCAGCCCTGATCGATTGGTGGGTAGTTTACAAGGTTCAGCCAACTGGAAAAATAGCAGCCCCTGTGGATAAGGACTACGACTTTCTTCCCAACAATGATAATGTCCATTATTTCCAAGAAGATGGTCTCCAAGGCACTTTTGTAGTTGATCTTATGGAAGGACTCCATAATGTTTCTGAAGCCACCACTAGAGATGCCGAAGGCATTGTCAATGACAAGGACTTGCAGCTTCTAAATGGATCCAATGTGCTACAACAAGATGAATCTGATAGTTCTGAGTTTGATGAAGATGAGGAGGAGGGCCCCATCATTGATGAATATTTCTAAGTAATATTTTTGCTTTTTTACATGTTCATTTTATTCTACAATTGATGAAGATGACTCATTTGATGTCTTATTCTATTGATTTCCACCCTGCTTTAATAGAACCGATGAAGATGACAACGACGAGGACCACTTCTGTGCTGACTTGCTAAGTATGCTTTGCTTAATGTATTTGCCTTTTCTTACACTTTAGTTTCTTCTACATGGACATGATCTGTTTTTCATTCAAACCTTCCCTACTTAATCATTTCTCAAATAATTACAATGTATTGATCAGTCTCCTTGCATGTTCTTACTAATGTGTGGCTAATTCCTACAGGTTATGAAGCAATATAAGTAGCATCATTAGAGCTGATCAGAAAAGGTATCTACTTTCATCTCATCAGTTTTAAGATCAATTCATGGATGGTGGTTGGTGCTGTACATCAACAGATGCATACATTTTATCAACTGTGAAAAACTGCTCAAGTTACATTATTGATTGTTCTTAACCATATTGACAAATCACAAGATATATAGTAATGCATGTTTCATTTCATTACTTATATGATAGTTCTGCTACTCTGCATAATGGCAAGTGTGTAGGTTTGCTAGGTGGATACATATTTTCTCATGTTTTTATTCCAAGCAAATCCATTTCTCAGCTTATAGAACTGACCATTTGGTCTTCTTTGTTTTGGTTTAATTAGCTTGTAACAGTACATGGGTCCGAATTATGGAGGATAATTTGATACTAGCTCATATTATTCTTTTGCTTCAAATTAAATGTCAATACTTCTTTGTAAAGCATCAAACATGAGGCTGGTGCAGATTAGTGAAAAAATTCATAATATGAGAAATGCACAAGGATACAGCAGCACCCATAGCACCATTTTCATATGGTTCCTACTCAACAGTCCTTGCAAGAAAAATTAATTTCTTATAAGTTTCTCACAATTGCAGGTGTATTCTCAAGTTTCAACTGCATGTTCTAGGACCAATGAACTAAATAATCTGGTGCTAGCTATTGTCTCAAAGATTTGAGTATTTGCTTTAAGTGACATGGACCATGATCAGCTTGTATGCTTATTCATTACAACCAATTTTTACCAAAATATATGCCTATGTCTGGGATTTGGCATCTCTTCTATGCTTGGTGAATTGTATTGTGATGAAAATTTGTCTTGATGAATCTCAAATGATAGGGATGCAATGCAGTGAATTGTATTGTGATGGAATGTGTCATGATGAATTGCAAATGATTGGGATGCATTGCAGTCTTCTGTGTGACTTTTTGCAGGTGATCTATATTGGCATGCAAATATAGAAATAGAAATATAAATAAAAAAAGAGTGCTGAGTGTGACTTCCCGTGCGTCAATAGCATACAGCACACGGTAACGCTAAAAAGCTTACCGAGTGCCCGATGGTGCTGAACTCTCGGTAACGCTAAAAAGCTTACCGAGTGCCCGATATTGCTCAACTCACGGTAACACTAAAAAACTTACCGAGTGATACTGTGGACGCACGGTAACAAACAAACTGTTACCGTGTGATCCTGGTGCACGGTAACCCGCCGTTCTGTTGGGAGCGCCGTTACGTCGTGAGTGTTACCATGAGTCCCGAGTTTTGAGTACACTCGGTAAAATTTTCAACCATCCCGTGCGTTTTTCGTGCGAACTCACGGGAAGTCCACATGGTAAACCGATGAAGCCGCCGTGTGAGCGTTACCGTGAGCTAGAACTCGGTAACGACGTTACCGTGTGTTTTTGGCCTGTTCCCGTAGGTTTTGAGCACACGGGAGCCTTTCCATCTCCAGTAGTGGCGCAGCTGCTCACACCCGTAATAGCTCATCCAGTGATAAGGTTGTTAGGATTAGTTTCTTATCTCCAAATCTGTTCTATCTCCTTATCACTTGTAACTGAACATTGTAAGCCACGGTAGAGGCTGTTTCTACCACTATTTAACAGAGATGCGGCCCGAGGCAAATGGTTCAATGCTTCACATTTTATCACAGCCGCAACACCACCGTCACTGTGTATGAGCGCCGCCGCGTCGTGCCTGCCAAGTGCGGCTGGCGCATCCGTGACCCTGCCGCTCTGCTCGACCGCGTCATCGTCCTCAAGAAGCCCGACCCCGACCTCTGGAAAAGGGTAATCAAACACACACTGTAGTTAAAAGACTGAATTGATTTGTACGTACAACAAAAAAACCCTTGATTTTTTGTAATGTTGCTCTTAAACCGGCGCGCGTGCAGTCTCCAAGGAGGGATTGCTGCAGGGTGATGTCGTCACCCAAGCAAGGGAAGGACCGGAAGATGACCATCTATGTTGGCGTCTGCAGGGCGGGAGGTCAAAGTGAGTGTCTGAGCCGGGAGGCCGCCGGGCATCGGCCGGACGCGCTGACGCGGGACGGAGAGGGCGCGGCCGTGCAGGCGCCAGCGTGGTGCGTGAAGGCAGCGGGAGGCACGGACGCGGGAGGCGCGCGCCGCCGCCGCCGCCTGCACGCCCGCACCGTTCCCGCCTCACTACCGCCTTCCCGGGCCCATATTCGGCCACCGAGGAGCTTCGCTGGGCCGCTGCCGGGGTCTCCGTCCTCGACCTCGCCCGCGCGGCGACGCCCTCCCCTTCTCCCATGTCGCCGCCGACGCCGACGCCAACGCCCTCCCTTCTCCCCTCCCCCGTCGCGGCCCCCGCCGCTGCCAGCCGTCGTCGTGGACGCGCTACCCCCGCCTCGCCGCGGCGCTGTGGAGGCGCTACCGCCGCAGCTGCCGACGCGCCGACGCGCTACCGCCTGGGTGTGTGACTGTGTGTAGAAGAGAGGAAGAGATGAGGAAGGGGGAGGCTGACGTGGATTGACTGACATGTGGGGCCTACGTGGGTCCCACGCTGACTCAGCCGCCACATCGGACAAAACCAGGGTCAAAACCACCGAGGGACCTAAAGCGAACTGTCTTGTTAGTTGAGGGACGTCCGGTATCTGTTTTTGTGATTGGGGGACGATTTTGTATCTCGATGACAAGTTGAGGGACCTTGGGTGTACTTTTTCCTTGGATAAATTTGGATACTCCGCAGCGGCCAATTCATGTATTTCCAAGGTAAATAAGTTCATATGAGATCCCTTAATTGTCGACGAATCCTATTTTCGTCCTTCAACTGGAAAACCAGATACAACATGTTCCTAAACTATCAAAACCAGTGGATATAGGTCCCATGGCAGTTTGGATGGTGGTTTTAGCTGACGTAACATCTACGTGACTAATTTGACTCGGTCTTCATTTGACGTGGCTTATGAAGCGAAATTTAACAATTTTAAAAATAAAATAAAATATATGGGACCACATGTTAGTCAAATAATAAGATTAAAAAATAGTGGGCCCACATGTCAGTGGGCCCTACTTCCTCTACCTTAGCCCCTCTATTCTCTATCTCACCCCCTTGTCCTTCCACCCTCTCCACGACTTCACCGACAACTCCGCAAAGACATTGACCGAGCTGCCGGCCATCTCGATGAGCCTGACGTCGTGCGCTGACAGCCGCTCGCCGGTTGCCACCTCGACGATCTCTAGTCCCTCCACTTGCTTTGGCTACTGGCACTGAGGCGAGAACGGTGACGAAGATGAGGCATTGCTTGTCGAGTTCTTGCTTGGCATCGGTGTTGCCGGTATCTGGTCCGGCAACAAGCGTGTCACGAACCTTTGACGGTGTCGTGTGCCGGTTGCGGTTGCGGCTACGTCGGCCTCGCTCGCGACCAGGGCACCGGAGAAAAATCCCGCACAGCTGCGATCTTCGAGGAAGAGGAGCAGCTTCATCTTCCCGCCATGGCCAGGGTGCGGGAGGCCGTGCAACGTGCTATTCCACCCTCGCCGGCCTCCCCGCCTCGTCCCCCTCTACGTGCACTCGCCAGCAGATACTCGCGGGCTTAGTGACGGTGGGCAATGCGCGAAGAGCCCGGGCCGGTGATGCTCCTCCCTCCCTGCCCTTGCTCACCGGCCTCCGCCGATTCCGCCTCTGTCGTGCCTCTACTCCTATTCGCTGGCGTGCTGGTGCTCGTGGTGACCACCTCTAGGGAAGAAGGGGAAGAGGTGAGAAGGAGAAGGGAAGGAGATAGTGAAGAGAGAGGATGAGGTGGATGAAGTGGGGTCTACTGACACGTGGGTCTCGCTGTTTTTAATCTTATTATTCTGACTGACATGTGGGCCTATATATTTTATTTTAATTTTTAAATTGTTAACTTTTGCTTCATATGCCACGTCAAATGAAGATCAAGTCAAATTAGCCATGTACATGTCACATCAGCTAAAATTAGCCATGTGATCTACATTGCACCGGTTTTAACAGTTGAAGGAAAAATATTTTGGTTGAAATATGAAAATCAGATTCGTTGACAAATTAAAGAACCTCGAGTGAATTATTCCTTTCCAAGGGGCCCTACAGATGATGGATACACGGTTTAAAACCTAAACAGTATCTCAAAACACAAGCCGATGGGCCTACATGTCCTCTGTGTATTGGGCCTCAGGCGAAAAGTAGACGTGAGCTACTTTCGGTTTGTTGGGCCGTGAGAAAACGCGGGCCCCTCACGCGGGCGAGTCCGGATCGCTGCCGGCGCGCGCGGCGCAAACGCGGCACTCCGCCGCCGCTCTCCCCTTCCCGGCGCCGGCCGCGCGCCGGCCGTCGATGTACTGCTGGTACGCGTACGAGAGGAAACCCCAGACGGCCATGAGCATGGATACGGCCTTGATCCCGGTCATCCTGTCCCCGAACAGCGCGACGGCGAACACCGGCACCAGCGGCAGCGACAGCGTGCCCGTCACGTTGGCGAACAGCGACGACACCCTCACGATCAGCCGCAGCGAGCCCACCGCCATCACCTGCCACGACACCGCCGTCCCGACCAGCGTCGCCACGTACCTCGCCCTCCCGTCCTTGAACGCCGCCATCTCCGCCGGTATCGTCCTCCAGTCCCCCGACGCGAGCAGCCCCACCGCCGACACCGTCGACGCCACCACGTTGGTCCACAGCTGCGCGCGCAGAACCCACCGGAGCGTCCGCGTCCGGACCACCTTCTCGAAGGTGGCCTCGAACAGCGACAGGATGAGCGCGAACACGGCGGAGGCGGCGAGCGTCAGGGCGAACCCGGCGGGGTACTTGCCCCTCGGCACGCTGCTGGCGGTCTCGTCGGAGGAGGCCCCGATGCCGAGCAGCGCCGCCGAGAAGGTGAGCACGACGACGGAGTTGGCGATCAGCACCGTGAACCGCTGCGCGTTGATGAGCCTGGAGGTGACGGAGTTGAAGCCGAGCTGCGTCGCGGCCACGAGCGAGAAGGTGGACACCGGCAGGTACTGCAGCGCGTACGAGTACATCAGGTTGTCGAAGCCGATGATGATCCCGAGGCCGACGTAGATGGGCGCCATCTTTGCCGCCGCCGGCCTGGGCTCGTCGGCGGCGGGCGCCGGCGTGAAGAGGAGAAGGATGGCGAGCAGCGGCGAGCCGGCGGACTGCGTGAGCGTGGCCATCCACTTGCTGTTGCCGCCGGAGTTGTAGTACAGGCGGCCGAGGAGGGTGGCCACGGTCTGGCCGCAGAGCACCATGAACATGTCCGCCGCCACCGACAGCCACCACCGGACGCCGCCTCTCGGTGACCCACCACGCACGGCGGCGGCTTTTGGTGCAGAGCCGTCCTCGCCATGGTCAGACTCTTGTTCTGGCATAAGTTTGCAAACAGAAGACATGGCTGTTTAGTGTCACCGTCATCAGTAAGCTTACTTCTCAAACACAAAATGTAAGCAACGGAAAAGATCAACTTTATCATTTCTCATCTGATAGTTCTCCATTTTTTGAAAGAATATTTGTAAAAAAAAAGGTACAAATATCACAAGGAACTGGAGTGACGATCTAGTTTTAAGGGATCGTGGATAAAATAAGGGAAATTTAGGGGGAAACAAAACAAAAGGTTACATGTAAAATAAGAAAACGGTTTTGCTAAAAAAATACGACATCATATACTATTTGATTTCAGCCACTTTTTTCAATGTAATTGCTACCTCTCTGAATCTCATATGTCTCCTCTTTTAAGTTGATTTTTATATACTACTTTTAAATAGCGTGTGTACTGCGAAAAAAATACCTTATAAGTTTCAAAGTAAATACTTCCGCCATTCTAAATTGATCATCATATATATTTATACACCAAGACCAATAATAATTTAAATCGCATCAATCAAGACAACATGCACACATTCTTCCACAATGTATACATCAATTAAAACAATATGCCAATTACGCCCTAGCATGCACACATTCTCTCATGTTATATTAATCGTATTCCGATAAAATTTGTGTCCATACAGTTATATCATGCAGTTATATAATGATCAATTTAAGAAATTTTGGATTTTGTTCTATGATGATCAATTTGAGAAGTAGAGAATATGTCATTTACGTATATAAAAAATATTCCTCTGTGTGTTTTTTTGTCTTTTTGTTTTTCTTTGCAAAATACAACGCGATGGGGCCTGTGGACCATGCCTTATGTGTTGTTGCTAAGCCTGCTTACGTCTACTCTGGTCTTACTTGTGTTGAATTCAATGACACTAGTCACACTACTATATGATGAAGATAAGACTAAGAGTGCCCTCAAAAAAAAAATAATAAGAGGGCCCATGCATGGAGAAGTGATGTTTCCCACTTTCTCTATATATTTTTTATTTATTCCTCAGTGGCGGAGCCAGGATTTGAAAGTTGGGTATTCCCGTCTAACAAAAAAATTCATAGTAAAAAAAATCAATGGTTCACAGTATGTCAATACCGATAATCTAAGAAATAAAATTACAAATTATTACATGGTACCTCTAATTTTCTATTTCGGTTCCTTCGTGGCTTGGAAGAGTAGCTTTAATTCTGCGTTCCTTCATGGCTTGAAAGCGGTTTATAATATCACACTCCTTGACTTTCAAAAACATCTCACGCTCAATAAATGTGACCAAGCAATCATTCAAGTATTGATCCCCCATCCTGTTTCTCAATTTATTCTTCACATAATTCATGGCAGAAAATATTCTTTCAACACTAGCTGTTGCTACTGGAAGTACCAGAACCAATTTGAGAAGCTTGTAAACAATCTCATGTCTATTGTGCAATTTTGTTTCAACAATCATAATGGAAAGATTAGCAAGATTTTTTACTTTTCTAAACCTTTCATCTATACGCATCTCAGTGAGGAAGAGTTTCAATGCTGATGGAAGATGGTTCATCTCTGTGCTTGAGAAATCATTAGGATAAAACCGTGCAAGCTTAATCAACTTATCTTTGTCCCAACTAGCAAAGTTATCTATAGGACTAAATGCAGCCATACAAAGGAGCAAATCTGTGTTTACCTCATCAAACCGTTCATTAAGCTCTTGTAGTTGTCTATCAATGACACTTAGAAACATGTCAACATGGAAGCGATGCATATTCTTGATTTTAATAAAGAACCTCCTATCTCTTCCAACCGGCCGATAGAAAGAGTCCATATCAGGAATCTTGATCTTATGCTTCACACAAAAAGATTGCACTTCTTGAAGAAAATCATCCCATCCAGGATCCTCGCGTAATTGCTGCAATTGAAACTTTGTCAATAAAATCAGTCCTACTGCATTAACAATGTCTTGATCCCTCTTCTGCAAAGCATGATTCAAGTCAGATGTGAACCCAAGTACTGTTTGCATCAAGTGTGCCATAAAAACAAACTCAAATGATTGGAATATTGTCAACACTGTTTGTGCATTTGCACATTCTGCACCAAAAGAGCGATCCTTGCCAACCATTATAAGAACTTTTTGAATTGAAGGATACAAAGATAGGACATGCATAACAGTTTTATAGTGAGATCCCCAACGAGTATCTGCTGGCCTGCCCAAACCCATTTCTTGATTCAAACCCTTTCCAGTTTCAATGTCACCCAAATCTAGTTCTTCTACAATTCTTTGAGCTTGTGCAACTCTAAGCATTTCTGTCTTCTTACAAGAATTCCCAAGAAGATTTAACAAAAATCTAAGTTGCTCAAAGAACCACACACAATCTGGGTTTTCCTTAGCAACAGCCACAAGTGTTAATTGGAGTTGATGTGCAAAGCAATGGACATAATAGGCAGAAGGGCACTCATCCATAATCAATTTCTTTAGTCCATTAGCATGACCCTTCATGTTACTAGCACCGTCATAGCCTTGCCCACGGACCTTAGACAAGCTCAAGGAATGCTCCATAAGCAATGATTCAATTGCAGCTTTAAGTGTCAAGGAAGTAGTATTTTCAACATGAACAACACCAAGGAACCTCTCAACTACCCTTCCTTTTTTATCAACATATCTCAAACAAAGAGCCAACTGTTCTTTTTGGTACACATCACTAGATTCATCGGCAAGTATTGCAAAATATTCATCACCAAGGTCTTCCATGATAAGCTTAGTAGTTTCTTTGGCACAACAATTAGCTATCTGTTTTTGTATTTCGGGAGCAGTCAACTTACAATTCTTTGGAGCATTATTCAAAACCACCTTACCAACTTCTTCAAAGTTTTCTGCTAGCATACTCAACATCTCAAGGAAATTTCCTTTATTAAGTGACTTTTCACTTTCATAATGTCCACGGGCAGCCAAACCTTGCCTTAAAAGAAACTTCAAGCACTTCATTGAATAGGTTAAACGAGCCATATATCTAGCCTTGTCTTGTTCATTGGTGGCAGCAAAGCTCTCAACAATATTTGTTTTAGGTGCAAGGAAGTGATTGTATTTATCTTGTGCCACATTGTGAAAGCTAGTCATACCACCAACATGTTTTGCAATCCTTTTTCTCATGTGCCAATTCCTAAATCCCCTATTTACAAATGCATCTCCACCAGAATTATTAATTTTATGCTTGAATAAGTAACAAATAAAACAGAATGCAGCATCTTGTTCCACACTATATTCAAGCCATTTAAATTCGTCATACCAACTAGGAAGGAAGCGCCGAGGCTTACCTCCAATTTTCCTTATAGGAAAATTGTGGCTGCGTGGTTGGCATGGCCCTAATGCAATATATCCCCTTATCACAGAATTCCGTTCATTGACATCATAATTTTTGATTGCAATTCGCCTTCCAGGATCATGACAAAGTAAATCAATGTCATAAATAGCTTCATCACTTGAGTCATACTCTGTCTCTTCATCATCACCATCTCTGATGGGAGACCAATCTCTGATAGGAGACCAAGTGGAAGGTTGCTCCTGCTGTGTCACTGCTGTTGCTATGTCTGGATCATTGCTAGCTACCTCTGTTTCAGGTTCTGTCACATCTCTTGCTGCATCACTGGCTGCTACCTCAGGCACAACCTCAACTGCAGTAATCTGAATCTGAACTGGACTCTCATTTGCATCTGTAATCGGCTGAACAGAAGGAACAGCAACTTCACTGTCAATTCTAACTGGTTGTGTTGTTGATCCAGAACCAGAACCTAACCCTACCTTCCTAGACTTTGAATGTCTATCCCACAAAGTCTTCAAATCAATCGATTTCTTCTTCATTTTGAGAGTTCTTCAATCTACAGAACTACAAAAGTACAGGAAAAAGAAACTACTCAGAGACTAAGGTAAAAAAACATCAGACATGGACACATAGTGAGTGGATTTAGGACTGATTGAATCTTGAACTCTTGATTTGTCACCTGAAATTGCGCCTGCCGCAGTGCCGCTGGGCGCTGTCCCGCTGAGCTGCAGCTGTTGGCCGGCCGCCGCCGCGCCCCTGCCCCTCGGCCTCGTGGCCTCGCTCCCGCCGTCACCGGTCGCCCGTCGGTTGCCGTCTCGCGGCTTCGCCGCGCCGCCGCCGAATGCCTCGCCACGGCGTCGCGCCGCTGCCGAATGCCTCGCCGCGCCACCGCTGGTCTAGCTCCCTGCTCCCGTCGCCGGTCGCCGGACGCCTTGCCGCTTCCGCCGGTCGCCGCGCCGCCGCGCCGCCGCCGAACGCCGCCACCTAGGGTTTGGAATCAAATGGGGAATTGGGGAGCGGGCGAGCAGCGCATTTGCGCGTGAGGGTGAGGCGTGAGCCGAGCGAGGGACTCTGGAGGAGTGGGGACAACTAATATGTGTATATGTGTTATGTGTATATACTGAAGTATAGTTGTTTTTTGATAAAAAAAGTTGGGTATTCCTGGGAATACATAGGCATCACTGTAGCTCCGCCCCTGTTATTCCTCTAATGGTTGCTACTAGTATTTCTCTATTTGGAAACTGAAAAACTATTTTCTATTTCTATTGAGCACTCCTTGTACGCGGTTACCTCGCCCAAGTTTGAAGAAACTCCTAAAATAAATCCCAACAAGAAGAAGAACAAGAGCGATGATCCCAACAGCTCTGTCTTGCTGGCTCAGGACGGCTGCCAGCGAGCCAGAGCAAGAACAAACTAGGCTGGACATTTCAGACGCACATACCATCTAGGTTACCATGCGCCAGAACTCGATCCTTGGAAACAGCTCCTAAGCTGGACATTTCAGACGCACATACCGTCTTTCTCGTCCATTTCACTCGCAAAACTCCAAACTTCATTAGAGCGGAAGCAGAAAACCACACCAACTAAACATCGAGAAAACGAGGGCAATTTGCAAAACCGAGAGCCGTTTAAAAGTTTTAAACCATTGTCACGAGATTAAGCACCAGAAAGGAAGGGTTACACGAGAGGAGACTAAAGATGGTGAGGAGCAGTGGAGGCACCTCTGATTTGGAGCTGAATTTCTTGAGCGTACGCCATATTGATAGAGGGTGTCTGCTACAGCTTCTACTTCACGTCTTCATTAGCCTTCCTAACGCAGAATGGACTCATGGCTCCCTATTGGCATATATAACGACTCGACCTAATTGTTTAATGTAGCAAAGCGACATCTACTACCAGAACGGTTGGATGATTCTCGTTCTATGCCAAAATATTGCAACTTATATCATTTAAAATTTATCACAAAATATATTAACTTCTTCTCTTTAAACAATCATAATATTCTCATTTAATTTTTTTATCTATTTTTCCAATCAATAATAACATTCCCTATTTAAATTTACCTATTATTTTTTTAAATAGTTATTAAAAATTTTAAAAACTCTTATATTTTGAAATGAAAGGAGGGGCACGTTTTCTCTTCCGTGGGTCATGGCCCATGGACCCTGTCCCCGAAAGAGGACAAAATCCGGGACTATATGGTAATTTAGTGGTGATTTAGGATATACATGTTTGAATAATCATGGCTCACGTTTTACTCGGTCGCAGTCACTCAGACCCATCATGCATCATTTGATCCTTTTTCGCTGTCTACTACCTCTGTCTAAAAAAAGACGAATCCTGGTTTCCGTACCGAACGTTTTCATCTTATTTGAACAAATTATAAAAAAAAATTAAAAAGACAAGTCGCGCATAAAATATTAATCATGTTTTATCATCTAGCAACAATGAAAATACGAATTATAAAAAAAATTTCATATAAGACAGACAATCAAAATTAGACATGAAAACCCAGGGTTTTCTTTTTTTTTTTTAGGGAGGGAGTATGATTGAGGCGAATTCTTGCATAGGACCCGGGAAGGCCGGGATGCAAGAAAAACTAGGCACTTGGTGATGCAGCAGTGCAGCACAGAGTATGCTACTCGTAGTATTCTTCTGTGCTGCATCACTCGATTAATTATCAGTTCTGGTAACATGTTTTTCTACTCACATAACCAGCCATGTGCAGTGCAGCAGTGCTGACGGTCCATGCCGGGACATGGAGGACCGTCTGAGATAGATATATAATATCCCGGCATTTGCTCAAAAAGAGCTACAGCCAATTATTACAAAGTTCCACTCCAGAAGAGAGTGTAGTTCAAGACAAGTTGAACACATCAAACAGAAAAATAGAGGACCCAAACTAAGAAAAGCAAAACAAAAAGTGGAGCTAGAAGGCCTCGTCAAAGCCTAGGACTGAAGTTCGAAGCCAATGCATAGACCCTTGACAATCCTTGCACGAAGAGGTTTCTCCAAAGCGGTGCCCCCAAGGAGGACGCGACGTGGATCGCCGCCACCGCTCGTTCGGAAGGAAGCAAGGTTTTCACCCGGAGAATATGGTTAGGAAAGGAGATGGGTAATCTAACACAACGCCTCCAAGGAGGAGAACGGCGACGGGCGTCGCCGTCGTCAGCTGGCCAAACGGCTCGGCAAGGCTTTCGCTCGCGATTCCCTGTCCAAACCCACACCACCAATCCGCACAAGAAGGATCTTCGTTGGTCAACAACATTGTCCCTTCAGAAATTCGGCCAAGGCCACCGCCCACAGTTCTCGATGGTGCGCCCGCACCCGGACTCCTCCTTCCTTGCCTCCACATGCCGCTGCCGACGACGACACACCGTCAGCCCCGGATGATGGCCTTGCACCACCGTCGACAGCCACCACTGCCAGCCACCATCGCCACCGCCACCGCCACCCCCGTCCAGCCGCCACCGTCAGCCACCACCGTCCAACTGCCACCGTCAGCCACCACCGTCCAGCCGCCACCGTCGCCAGCCGCCAGCCGTCCAGACCGGCCGGGGTGGCATAGACCTGAAGGTGCAACGCGCAGTGCGGGTCGCCGGCGCCATGGAGGAAGGCGTCACGGGCACGGCGTACAATTGATGGGCGCCGCGCCCTCCTCGTGGTGGCGAGGTTCTTGACGAGGGCCGGCGTCGCGGCACACGCCGTAGTCCGCCGCCTTCGTCGCCGCCACATCCGCCACCATCGCTGTCGCCAGCCACCCCCCTGCCAGGTCCGTGGAGCGGCGCCGTCATCGACCGAGCCCGTCGCCGGTCACCCCGGCCAAGCGGGGCGACCGGATCTGGCGCCTGCCCGTCGTCGGAGCCGCCGACCTTTGCCCCCCCCCCACCTTCGCACGGGCGCCTCCCGCGCCGCTGCCGCGGCCGCCGCCTCCGTGCACTCCGCCGCCGACCCGCGCGTCCCAGCCCAGATCCGGCCAAGGGGCCAGATCCAAACCCAACGGCGCCGGATTTGGCCGTCATCGCCGGGGCCGCGCTCTCGCTCTCTGGTGTCGTCGGTGCCCCAACCGGCTGACCGGGAGTGAGGGAGAAGGGAGCCCCGCCGTCGCCGTCTTCGCAGCCGCCCGGCTTTGCCGGCGGCTGTTCGGGTGGCGGCGAGGTGGGGGAGAGGAGGAGAGTGAGGAGGCGACGGCGAGGTTTTGCCGCCCGCGTCGCCCTGGAGCGGGGCGACCAGGCGTCCTTGGAAATATTCGTGACCGGAGCAGTATCATATTGGGACATTGAACGAAGGCTGTTTTTGGATCCAAACTCCAGTCCTTTCCATCACATTAACCTGATACACACACAACTTTTCAGTCACATCATCTCTAATTTCAACCAAAATCCAAATTTTGCGCTGAAATAAACACAGCCGAACTCAACAAGTAAGAAATCGACAACGAGTACGAGAGCAGACGACGGATCGCCCGCATAACTTTGAGCCGTGCCCCGGGGCTGCAGATAGATATTTCCCCCAACCATGAAACAGACGTTCTTCCAATTTGCATCATGATGTCGATAAAGACTACTGTACCAGTGTGACATTTCTACGTCAGGTTCATGATACCTGTAGCGATCAGATACGAAAAAGAGGCAGTTTGACAAGTTCATCTCCCCCCTGTTGCAGCTAGTAGGACGGACCAAGTTACCATACACGCCATCTTACATGAGATTCAGTGAAGATCCAAAAGTAAAGCTAGTAGCAGTACAGTTTTTGCCTGTCAGTATCGTTTGCACGCCGAGCACGAGCAGTGCTGCTGCTGGCACCAATCGTAATCGGTCGCATTCGCGTTAGGCGGAATATTACACTGAGGCCGTGTTTTGGCTGTGTGTTTAGTTCACACTGAAGTTTAGAAGTTTAGTTGAAATTAGTACGATGTGATAAAAAAGTTGTGTATGAAATATTCGATGTGATGGAAAGTTGAAAGTTTGGAAAAAAAAAACTTTAGAACTAAACAGGGCCAATTTGTTGCGACATTTTTCTTCAAACTTCAAACTTTTCCATCACATCGAAACTTTCCTACACACAAACTTTCAACTTTTCCGTCACATCGTTCTAATTTCAACCAAACTTTTAATTTTAACGTGAACTAAACACACCCTGAGATCTGGGTTTATCTCTTGGCTTAAGGAAGCAAAATTCTGGGTATATTCGACCAATCCTATGGACCATGGACGTTTTGATTGCTAATGTCAAGTCGGCAACATCAGTCGTTCAAATCTAGACAGATTTCCCGCTGTAATCCCTTAAGATTTCATCTGTCGTCACACGGTGAAACTAATGAAAAACAGTCTTTACCTGAGATGACCCTCTACTGTCAGAAAGTATTGACAACTACAGTGTCGTTTCAGAAACTGATGAAGACGGGGATCTTCCTCGATGCTGTAATGTTTTTGAGCAAAAAGCGATTATCGAGTTCCTGTTATTCTGCAGTTACTCTGATTGACCCCGTTATTCCAGGGAAGATAAGACCAGTATTCCAAATTTCCAATTGATTCCGTGAAAAAAAAGAGATCAAGTACAGTAAAATTCACTCTGGGTATCACTATCAGGCGTATCAGGCTTCAGAGTTTTGCTTCTGAAGTTTGTGTGACGTCAGCTGACCCAGCTGTGTTCTTGCTCTTGGCGTCATCGAGGTAGTGCTGGTAAACGTAGGACAAGAATCCCCAGATGCCAATGAGCATGGCTATCACTTTGGCACCGTCCATCCGGTCGCCGAGGAAGATCACCGCCATGATCGGCGACAGCGGCATCCCCACCGTGCTGATCACGTTCGTGAACAGCGACGACACCGTCGCGACGAGCCCCACCATGCCCATCGTGGCGAGCTGCCACGAGATGGCCGTCCACGCCAGCGTCATCCCGTAGGCCACCTCGCCCTTCTTGTACCCGTCCATCTCCGCCGTCAGGGAGCTCCACTCGCCGGAGATGAACAGCCCGGCCACCGACACGCACGACGCGGCGGCGTTGCTCCAGAGCTGCAGCTCCAGCACGGCGTGTGCCGCGTTGCTCCTGAGCACCGTGTCGAACGTGAGCTGCATCAGGGACAGGATCAGGGCGAACGCCGCCGACGCCGACAGCGCCAGGACGAACCCCAGCGCGAACTTGCCCTCCGGGACGCTGCTGTTGGTCTCCTCCGAGGAGTGGCTCACGCCGACGAGCGCGGCGGAGAAGGTGAGCAGCACGACGGAGTTGAGCACGAGCGCGGTGAACCTCTCCTTGTTGAGGAAGTAGGAGAAGACGGCGTTGAAGCAGAGCTGGGTGGCGCAGACGAGGGAGTACGTCGACAGCGGCAGGTAGAGGAGCGCGTAGGAGTACATCAGGTTGTCGCCGGCGAGGAGGACGCCAAGGCCGGCGTAGATGGCAGCGATCTTGAGCAGCGGCGGACGTGCCACCGGGGAGGCCTCTGGCCGCCGGAAGTAGAGCAGCAGTGGGACGGCGAGCGGCGCGCCGCAGGACTGCACCACCGTCGCCAGCCACAAGCTGCCGCCGCCCTGGTCGTAGTAAATCCGGCCGAGGAGCGTGGCCACGCTCTGCCCGCCGAGGACGAACACGATGTTGGCAAGGACCACCGCCCACCACCGCAGCCGCTGGCTGGACACAGGCGGCAGCGGCGCCGCCGCCGCCGCCGCCGCCGCAGTTCCATCTGCTCGAGACGTGCTCTTGTCAGACTCTGCTACCACGTCTTCTTGGCCTCGGACACCTGCACATACGAATCATCCGTCTCATCAGTATAAAAACTGGACTAGTTTCGATCGATCTCACATCACATCTCAATTCGAAACTGTGATCGATTTGGCAGTTCATGACCGAGAGAGACCTGTAATCTGCAGCTGAATTTCAGTAGCATCGCTCATTGTGAGGTTCAGAAAAAGGATAAACAACAAGATGGGCCTAGTGCTCGTCATCCACTCGTCCAGCAGCAGCGGAAGGCTGAAACTTGCCAACTTGGAGTCGTCATCAATCAATGAAACGATAAAAAGATAAAAGGGTTGATAGGGCATGCGCAAGGGGCTAATTTTGCCGTCAAACGTTTCAAAACTACTCCGGCGAGTCAATGTTTATGTCCTGCCTCTTGGAAAATTCAATGCGTGCGATGCCAAAATTTCCAAGTGAGGACAACGTCGATCGCTGCATCCAGACGGAATCAATCTTATCTCCAATTTGACAAAAGAGTACAAAGATTGCCAATTATTGTTCTTCACCCAAGATTCTGCGGAAGTGTCAGATTCAGATGTAGTTTAATCAGATACTAATTGTTTTCCACAACTGAAATAGAAGTAGTACCAAATTATTCGTGTCCATCAGCCACCAGGATCAACCTGACATAAGACAGGACGAAGCAAATAAAGAGTTCTTTACTAGTCTAGTACTACTATTTCTATTCTTTCGTGATATACAATTATGCGTCATACCCTTACACAAACGCACATGAAGAAAAGAACAAGAAAACTACTAGTAATCCAGCAAAATTGTACATCTGAACACGTTGGCAACACAAAAAAACAAAGTACGTACTAGTTTTTATCTGACGAACAACCTGCAACATAACATAAGTAACGAACATCTAGTACCTCGCAGCCAACAAAACTAGCTAAGATTATTGGCGGAGAGCAATCAATCTCTACCACGATAATATCACTGTGGCCACCTAATCTGATCACCCCTGCGCACTATCACCCGATGAAGCCTTCTTCGCTTTCTTGCCATCTAGATAGTGCTGAAACAGATACGAAATAAATCCCCAAATTGCAATCAGCATGGCCACGATCTTCACCCCGTTCATCCTGTCGTGGAACACCACCACCGCGAAGAACGGGATGACCGGCAGTGACACCGTGCTGATCACGTTGGAGAAGAGCGCCGACACCTCGAAGATGAGGCCGAGCACCCCGATGTTGGCCACCTGCCACGACACGGCCGCCCACAGCAGCGTCATCAGGTAGGAGAACTGCCCCGACCTGAACGCGTTCATCTCCCCCCTCAGCGACCTCCACTCGCCGCTCGCGAACAGCCCGACCACCGACGCGGCCGTCGCCACGAGCGCCGTGTAGATCTGCATGTTGAGGACGGCTGAGAAGGTGTGCTTCTTGATGATGGTCTCGAAGGTGAGCTGCATCAGCGCGAGGATCAGCGAGTAGGTGCACGACGCCCCCAGCGTCAGCACGAAACCGAGCAGATACTTCCCTCCCGAGACGCCGGTGACCCCCTGAGACTCCTTGCTGACTCCGATGAGCGAAGCGGACATGGTGAGCAGCACGACGGAGTTGAATATCAGAGGAGTGACCTTCTGGGAGTTGAGCACGTATGAGAAGACGACATTGAACGCGAGCTGGCTGGCACAGATGAGCGAGTAGGTCGAAGCGGGGAGGTACTTGAGGCCACCAGTGTACATCATGTCGTCGGCGGCGATGATGAGGCCCAGGACGATGTATATCACGGCGAGCTTGGCCATGGGAGTGTTGGTGCAGGAGGACGGTGACTTCGAGGGGAAGAAGAAGAGGGTGAAGAACAGTATCGGGAAGCCGGCCGTCCGCACGAACGCCGATATCCACTTGCTGCGGCCGCCTTGGGTGTAGTAGTATCTGCCCAGCAGTGTCGCCGATGTCTGACCGGCGATGAGGAAGAAGACGTCCACTGCCACCATCGCCCACCATCGAAATGGCTTGCCTGCTGGTGTTTCCGGAGCTGCTGCAGCTTCAGCCTTGGATGGAGCTGTGATTTGTAATGAAGATGGTAGAAAGTTAGTACCAAACGTAACAGGTAAAATTTTTTTAATGATGCTTTACATTTCATCAGTGGGTGAAAGTTTCTGAACACGATGCAATAGAGGTCCATGTAAGAGCAACAGAGTTTAAGTGTAACAAATCGTACTCACAAAGGCTAAAAACAGATCATCCCTAAAAATTTCCCCAATGTACCAACGGAATGATCAATTCGCACGAGTGTTCACGGATAATCCAGCACAGGTGCTTCCCAGGTGCACAGCACGATTGGAACGCAAAAGCATAGCCCGCTTCTCATGTTTTTTTTTCACCCTAACCCTTCATGCAATAAGATGAAATGGAAACATAACAGCGACCAGAGCGGACCAGACTGAGACTGACCTGGGATCGGTATCTGGACCTCGGCGTTGTTCGCGGCACCGCTACTGTTGTTGCCGCCGGCGTTACTGTCCGCCATTTTTTTATTCGAGGAACTGCCACCCTGTGAGATCCAGGACAGGAGGAGGAAGAAGACGAGGAGGAGGAGGAGGCGAGAGGAGCGCAGGGTGTGGTGGCAAAGGAGAATTGCGGGGGCTCATGTTTCGCGGTGGAGAGAACAAGAGGGCATGCATGGGGGCTGGGCATGCAGAGGTGTTGGAGAGGGAGGGGCCGGAGACCAGCGGGAGAAGAAGAACCGGTCCGCCCGTTCGTTTCACCGCCGCGGCCGCGCTCGTGTCGTCGTCGCGCGCTTCGGGGAGTTTTTCCTTTTCCGCTTTGCAGCGGTATGCAGATGCAGAGTTTTGCGGGTTTCCACGGTTTCCGGGTTAAAGCGCGATACACGACGAACGTTTACGTGCCGCAGCGGGGCCTTCCGCGCGCACCGCGATAGCGGAAAGTTGTACTTCAAGCGGCCGATACAGAAGAGAAGGTTTTGTGCACGTTGACGTCGTCCACATTTGTCTCGTCTTACTGTGCATGGGCCGAATCTTTAGCTTTCCACGACGGGTGGGCCAAAATCCACTTTTCAGTATGACCTGGGCCATAGGCTGACAATACTTGGTAGGAAAAAAAAGTCTATTTTACTATTCCATTAACCAATGAAATAGTTCGGAAAATAAAATGGTTTTTTTTTTCCTTTGGTGGTTTGGTGCATAGTTTTGGTCACACTAAGATGCCTAAATTTCGGTCGTTTCTAATGGCCAATACCACTTCATGATTCGTGCTGTCATACTAGAGATACCATCTCTCCTCGCAAAGCTTGGATAAAACCCTTGCGCCACTGCCCACCCATCCTCACCCACTTGCCCCCCTTTGCATGGCTTGCGCTATCTAGATGCTAACCAGCCCAGCTCAATCGTCCTCCTCCCTTTCACCCCCTTTCTCTCCCTTCGCTTCTCCTCTCTAAGCCTAAGCGGCGGCCAGGCGCCCTTGCCGCCCTTGCCTTGCCCTTTTTTTTTTTTTGTCTTCAGCGGCCCCTAGCATTGGAGATGCTACCATTGCCTCTATCTCCTAACTACTCTAGATCCCATGTCCATACCATCAATCTCATGGCTATGATGCCAACACCGCCTCGTCGCACGTCATATATGTCACCACAGGTTTACCATCTCCCTGCTCCTTAGTCATTTCTCTAAGCTCGAAAAACTGCATCTTTCCCTCACCTTAATTCTTCTCCCACCCGTATCCTAATCCAAATATCTATCATCGTCAACACCGAAAAAGTGGAAGAGCTTGCTGTTGTTGTCGCTAAGTACTACAGGCATCTAACTACAAACCCAAAGATATCGCATTGGACTAATGGTGAGGTAGATAGAGTAGAGAAGAGTGAAGAGAGAAAGTACCACCTCTCATGGAAGAAACAACTCCTACATAAACTTCAATAAAAATGTGGAAATACATATTACCTCTTACTATTATATGGTATGCATGAAATTAGCTATAAAACTTGCTCCAAGTATTCAACAAATCTTCATCCCTTATCCCTCTCCCCCGGGAACGAAAAGGATTTGGATTCCTTTTTTTTTGAAGGGAGATTTGGATTCCTTTTGGGAATTTAGCCCAATTCGTGCATACAGGTCGGCCCAGGTAAGGCAAGCAGAAAGCCCAACAAATTGCATCACCAAAGCTCGCGCCGCCGCTGGCTCGGAGCCTCGGACGCCGTCACGTCGTGATCCGTGGAGACGTGCATGACGTTTACAGGGCGAGGTAGCTGCCAATCTCCGTTGGAACGGCCCAGCAGATTGTTGTTTTTTAAGCAAAGATGCCGGCCGATTATATCTTAGCTGAAATGCAATAATTTCTTCACAAGATATGCCGTAAATTAAGTGTGCGTTCCACTGGGAAAAAAACAACAATCGTACGTGCATCTCATGGCTAATGGCCGGATCGGTCTCAGAATAGGTGCACAAGGAATCCAACCAGTTTCTTCCAAAAATGGAAAATTATATGACAACGGAATTAGTGAGAAAATGTAATTTTGTCCTGTGATTTTCCAGAGTAATTAATTTATTACGCAAAGGATTTATAGGATTACAGACGCTGTAACTCTTGTGACGTCATCCTAGCTCGGCGGCGATAAGGCCGATGTGACACCGAGAGCGATGGCCGACTCTTTGCTGAACTCCTCGTCCTCGGCGACCAGCGGCGAGGCCAGGCCGAGCTCGCGGAACCCGTCCTCGCACGTGTCGGGGGTGTCCAGCGCGGCGCTGAGCACGGTCACCGCGTCCCGCAGGCCGTCGGCGCTGCGCGACGCGATGCCCTTGGCCGCCTCGTCGAGGCTGTCCACGGCGGAGTCGTACACCTCCCCGCACGCGCTCAGGCAATCTTTCCTCCTCTTGTCGCGCTCCAGGTCCTGCAGGTCCGCGATGCGCTTGGCGGTGCCCCTGGCCGTCGCCGCGCTGATCTTCACGGCGATGGCGGCGAGGCCGTACCTGTCCGCGGTGGCGCTGCCCTCGTCGGACTGGAAGAACCTGACGCAGTAGGCGTAGCCGATGTCCGCGTGGCTAGCCGCGAACGACGTGCAGGCGTCGTCCACGAGGGAGGCTCTGGACGTCGTGGAGGAGGTGAGCAGGAGGAGCAAGGAGAAGACGATGAGAGGAGAGAACGATCGCACAAGCTTCATGGTCGTCATGGCTTTTCTTGTCCTGGTGCCGCTTGGTTACTTGTTTGGTGTGTTTTTTCGTGGTAGAACCAACAACTTTATACTAGCAGGTATCGTCATCTTAATCTCTGAACAATAAAAGAGGATCCAGCTGTTGATTGCACTGGAATCATTACGAGATATTACACCATTCATTCATTCATTCAAGAGGATTTCCTGGATGACGCCTGCTGAAACGTTGGCGGGTGTCTCGCAGTCTCTTCACGCCTGCCGCGAGTCTCGGGATCCAGGAACCAGGATCGCTCTTCTTCAGAAATTAGGATCAGCCACCTGCTGACAGGGTCCCTGTTCCTTTCGAGCCAAATCTAATCTATATAGTTTCATGTCATGACGAAATGTTTAGACACCACATGTCGAACTGCCAGAGTCTTAATCGGGGGAAGTTCCAAAAGGTCCCTTTACAAATTCATGGTCGAAATTCGAAAATCTCTTATTACGAAACAGAGTCTGCTTAATAATCGTGAAATAAGAGAATAACTGATAGTTGCCACCTGGGCCTTAAATTCCGTTGTCCGGATGTTTGCAGTTTGGAGAGGTGAATTTGGCGTGGGCAGTGGGCTGGAAGGCCCGTAACAGATATGATGTAGATACACAAATCTTGCAAACGCCAACAGTGGTGATAGATACTATCTCAAGAGAAGGATACGTTTATTTTTAGTTCCTTCCGTTTCTAGTAAAATAAGTTAATTTTGGAGTAATCATTGCATTGAAGTTTGTGAAAGTATTTGTTTGATATATGCATTGGAAGTGGATAAAATAAGAAATAATTGCATTGATATTTAATAAATTAGAGTTATTTTAGTCTATCTCAAGTGCAAAGTATTTTAGTCTTCTTAGTTTGATAAAATAGTTTGTATTTTAGTCCACTTTTTAGTTTGTATTTGTATTAATCTATCTCAAAAATAGACTTATTTTGGTGTAGAGGTAGCATATCACTATATTTCAAGTGCTTGTTGGCTGTTATACTTTGCATCGAAAGTACTACTAACATTGTTGACGCTTTTTTTTTTTTTTGCCAAACACACTCAACTGATGATTTACGGTATAATTAACGGAGTAGTTAAAATCAATAGATCAAATTAGCTAGCGGAGCATATTTTAAGATTAATCCACTTTTATCAAATCACACAATTTATTAATTTATAAGTAAATTAGCAAAGATAACTATTCTACTTATGCGACGATGAATGACTATTTTCTAAACAAAGTAGCAAAGGGTGACTTCATCTTTTTTTTTTCAAAAGCATAACCGGTTTTCAACGCAAAACTCGGCCATAAAAATGAAATAGAAAATAAACAAAGATAATAGTAACAGGAAAACAATAGATTGATAATTGCCATGTTTATTCATCTACATTGTTTGGCTTACAAAATCTGAGAGTAAAAACACACATTCACTGATCACTCGGTGGTGATATCGCCTCTATCAATGCGAGAGCAATGGACGCACTCTGTCTAAACTCGGCGTACTCCGCAACCAGCGGCAGGGTCTCCTTGTTCCCACGGAACCTGCCCTCGCAACCATCCGCGACATACCGCGCGACGTCGGGCGTTGGCGGCGACGCCGCCGCATGCTGCGCGCCGCCGTCCACCAGGGCGGCGGCTTTCGCCTCGTTGCCGAGAACGGCCAGCATGTAGGCGTACAGGTCGGAGCTTATGCGGAGGCACTCCTGCATCTTCTCCTCCTTGTGCGAGGATCGCAGGGCGGCGATGCGCTTGGCGGTGCCCTCGGCGGCCGCCTCGGTGATCCTCACGGCGATGGCGGCGAGGCCGTGCGTGTCGGCGGTGGCGCTCTCCTTGCTGGCCTGGAAGAACCTGACGCAGTAGGGGTAGTCGATGGCCGTGTGGTTACCGGCGAGCGACTTGCAGGTTTCCTCCAAGATGGAGGCGTCGGATGTGGAGGCGGCGAGTAGGAGGAGCAGGGTGAAGACGAGAGGAGAGAGTGCCCTCAGAAAAGCCATGGTGTTCTTGCTTCAGTCCTCACCTTTGTTTGCTGTGCTCGATTGTTTGGTGTGTGTTTTGTGATCTAGCCAAGGAGTGCATGAATATATAGATGGTGTGGGTAGGAGTGTGTGTGCACACTATTGGCTTCACCACAATAAATGAAGTACGTGTATATATGTTTTGCTTAATTTAATGCTTCTAAATCTCTTTACAGAAAAAAAGACAATAAATACATAAACATGGATATGTCATTATCGGATTCCCAAACATTAATGGGAGTGGAAGCTACAAAATTTGGGATTAGACTGATGCATAAATCCCTATGCCTGTATTTTTCACCTTTTCCTCTTATAGGTCTTTGATTTATTTTTGTACCCTCGAAAAGAGAAATTAGGCATGTACAATTAAAAATACAACGATACATAGGGTGCTTTATAAAACTCCTTTTGAAAAATATAATTGAAAATACAACGATACATGATATGCTTGAAATACATTAAATGAAGAAAATTATGGATCCAACCATTTTTTATTCCAAAAATGGTAACTAACAAATGGAAGCTCAAATATTTATTTTTTATTTTAATATATATTTTAAATTACAGGAATATATTTTTCGCTTCTGTAAATTTTTTTAAAAAATACTCCTTCACCGTGGGAGTGTTTTTTTAGGGATTTGCTTTAAAAACAGCCCTTCTAGAGGGCAGATCTGATGACGTGGCATTAGGCATGGGACATTTGCGTATAGCCCCTTATCACACTCCTAGAGAATAATTTTAAATATCCCGCCCACCTAGAGAACAAAAGTAGTCTATGCAAATTTCTCATGACCGTTATTTTTCTCGCAAGCATATATAGGCCTTAATTTCACTGTCTTTGGGTTGGGTGGCATATAAAAGTCGCCTCTAAGGAGCATGGGAAAGGCATGTACGCAATATTCAACCACCATAATCTCCATCAGAACCGCCTTTTGAGAGGCAATTTATGAAAAAAAAACTCTCCCATAGGGTGAAAGGAGTATGATGTTTGTAAATTTGTAAAAGAAAATTATATTTATGTATTTTTTGTTTAAAAAATAATAACAAAAAGCTCAGATCACCATATGGGCTACCGCCAGCACCTGAGCGATTTAGCCCACTCAGATGGGCCGTTTTCTATGGGCTTAGACTACCGTGATCCCCATGAGCGTTTAGCGGATAAGGCCCACGAGTATTATCGGGCTCTCGGCCTCGGCCGCGACCGCTGCAATCTGGCCACGCTGATGGGCCGTTGCCCATGTAGAGGGCGTATGGTTGGGTACTCGGGCTCTGTTTGGAATAAGTCCACTTTGACTCCCTTAAAAAGTAACCTGAATCTAATCCGTGACCCTCAACCGCAAAACCGGATAGAACGACTCCCTAAACTATTGAAACCGGTGCAATTTGACTTCCTTAATGGTTTTGGATGGTGGTTTCGCTGACGTGGTGCTTACGTGGCGGTGTTGATCTACTCTGGTCTTGATGTGGCGCTTAGGTGGCATTTAATTAAAAACATATATGTGGGACCCATTTGTCATAAAAAAAGTGGGGCCCACTGACATGTCATCCTCTCTCTTTCTTCTTCCTCCCCCACTTTCTCCCTTCTCTCTTTCTCTCCCTTTCCACCGTCCGCGGGGAGCACGGCTGGAGCGGCGGTGGGGCAGGGGCCGAAGTGCTGGCGGCCAGCGGGAGCTGAAGCGGCGGCGGGTTGGAGCTAATGCGGGTGGAGGCGGAGGAGAAGGAGGCGGCGACAGGAGGGGCTTGAGTGGCTGCGGCGGTGGAAACCACCCCACGCCACAGACCTCCAACGAGGCGGCTGCGGCTGCGGCTGCCTCTGACTAGCGCGCTGGATTATTCCTAGCCTCCGTCAGCTCCAGCCCACTTCCACCGCCGCTCCAGCTAGCTCCCGTGTCAGCTCCTGCCGGCCGTCACCACTCCGGCTCCCGACGGCGGGGAGGAGCCTCGACGACGGGAACAGGTCAGCGACGCCGAACCTAGTCGCCTTCTTCTGTGCCTCGCCCAGCGTCTCCAGGAACTCCTCATGCCACCGGAAGCCGCACTCCCCCATGATGGCGTGCAACGTCAAGTCGGTCAGCGTCCCGGTGATCTGCCAGCTCACGTTCAGTGCCGACAGCGGCGGCGATGGCGCCAACGAGCACACCCGCCAAAGAGTATCCCCACCGTGGTGCCGATGGAGTCCCTCACTGTACGCCCAGCCATAGAGGTCGAAGCCCCTGGGCCAAGCGCCAGGAGGAGGCCGAGCTCCATCCTCGCCTTTGGCCATGATGGTATGCATGTAGCGATGCCTGCCTTGGGACGAAGGCGAGGCATATCATCACCTTCTCGACATGATTTTTGATGAGCAGGAAGTAATCGAGCTATACAGCTATACACATCCTCTTGCTTGCTCGCCTTCTCCTATGCTGCTACATTGGTGTGTTTGTTGTACTGCTGCTCGATTCTGCCGAGGCTGACCCGTGGAGCATTGTGGGGGTTGGCCGGATTGCCAGGCTGGGTTTATGGACTGCATCCGCGGAGACTGTCACACCCCGAAGTTTTCCTCCCAAGCCAAAATTGTAATTTATAAATGACCCTAAGAAAATACCGGTGCAAATCAGGAGAAAACCCTAAGAAAGTAATGCAAATAATAATCGGATTTAACATGTGGAATTTTTTTTCTTGAGTTCTACATGTCGAAATTCATTAACTGGATTTTTAGTGGAATTTTCAGAGCTCTAGAAATAATTTTAACCAGTTAAAATTGAGCCAGCAATATTGTAATTCCAGGGAAAATACTTTTTCCTTTTTCTTTTTCTTTTCCCTCCCTTTTTCCTCCTTTTTTTTTCCGAATGGGCCGCCGGCCCATTCTCCCCTTTCCTTCCCCCTCCCCCTTGCTGGGCCGACCGCAGGCCGAGGCCCAGCCAGGCCGCCCGCCTCCCTCCTCTCCCGGGGTCGCCGACAGGTGGGGCCCACCTGTCAGGTCTTTCCCCTTCCTCCGGCCGACGCCGCGCCCGCAACCGCCGCACCCGAAACCGCCGCCGCGTCCACGTCTCCGCCTCCTCCGGGCCACGTCGGCCACGCCCGCGCGTGCGCCGCGTCTCCCGCGCCCACTCTCCTCTCTCTCCCGCTCGCGTCCGCGCCCGAGATGGCCGGGATTCGATTTTCGAATCCCGCCTCTCTCTCTTCCCCCACTCCCCCACGTCGGCCGGCGATTCCCGCCTCTCCCGGCCACGTCCGGTCCTCTCTCCCCCTATTTAAGCATCGCCGTCGTCCCCTCTCACTTTTTCCCCATTCCGCCGTACTCTCTCGAGCCTCCCATCGCTCTCACGCCGTGCGCCCATCCGCAGCCGCTGTTTCCGCTACTCCGGCCGCCGCTAGCCGCCGTTAGGGTCGCCGCCAGGCCGCGCCATCGCCGCCGTCGGGTTCGCGTGGCCGGGATCCACCCCGTCCACCTCTCCTCCGTCGAGGTTCGTCGCCGGAGCCCTCGTTCCCTCGCACTCGAGTGAGCATCACCTCTACCGCCGCCTTCGGCCATGGCTTCCGGTCGCCGTGGCTCATCTCCCTCTCAATAATCCCTCTCTCCTCCTTCCTTAGGGCACCCCGAAGCTCGTCCGCTCGCCGACGTCGTCCTCCCGTGGCTTGCCGTCGCCGTTCGCCATCGTCTTCCTCCGCGCCGGCCACCCTCGGTGAGGCATCCCCTCCCCTCTTTTCCCCTTCCTCTCCTCTTAGTGCCGCGCCGCCGCTTCAAGTCGCGCGCTGTCGCCTTCGACCGCCGCCGCCTCGCGTGCCGCCGGTCGCTGCCGTCGTCGGTCGCATGCGTCGCTGGCAACGCGTTCGCGCGCGCGTCGTCGCCGTCGCCGCGGTCGGTTGGCCGGCCTTGAGCCAATCCGAGCCGCGTGCCGCCGCCCTTTCTTTCCCTCTCCCGGGTCGCTGACCAGTGGGCCCCGCATGTCGGCGCCGCTCCTCCCCGGTCCGTGGACCCGATCCGCCGTGGACCGCCCTCTCCCGGGTCGCTGACCGGTGGGCCCCGCATGTCGGCGCCGCACTCCCTCCGTGCTGACGTCAGCCCTGGAATATATTGCGCAATAAATAGTTTAAGGTTTTTCTTGTATAGTTTTAAACACAGTAAATCTTCTAAAAATCATAACTAATTCATCCGAGTTCCGTTTAAGCCCATTCAAGTCTCAGTAAATCAAGAAAACTGTGCAGAATCCATTAAAAATGGTTTTGTTCCCTGTTTCAGTAGTCTTATAGCCTGTTTGCAATGTTTGCTTTGTATGTCGCTAGATTCCGTTTCCTCCGACGCTCCGGTGTACTTCGAGATAGTCGCCAAGGTTCCTCCAGCAGCAGAGCAAGGCAAGTCATGCTTGTCACTTGAACATGTTGATCCTATATTGCAAATGCTCTATTGTTTTCTTTCAAATATTGCATTGTTTTATAATATTACTATGGGATGGTTACCTATTGTTACAGCCATGCTTTTCGGATACCATGCTCCTTTGTTAGCTTGGGGTTATAACATGATTAGAGTTTGGACTAGGAATTGCTTAGCCATGCTTAGTTCAACTAGTTCACAACGGGGAAAATCATATTAATGTTTAGACTGTTGGTTCCAATGGTGTTGTTGGATTAGTGACACCGTTTGGGTGTTGGTTAATTAAAATAAACCACATGGTGGGCTGTGGGTGCATGGTTTTGCTGGTCGCACCCATGGCAGTTAAGGACCGGTTCGCGGGATGCCCTGGAAGAACATATCGTACTTACCACAAGCCAGCGTAGGCAACGGCTGGACTTGTAGTATATCTTTCCTCTAGTCGACGCATCCAGGCAAGGGTGGGCGTGATGGAGCGGGGCGGGCCCTGCGACGGCCTCTGTCGCTTCCGGATTCACCTAGGCACGAGAGGGGACTGCCCGTTGCCCGCTGGGGACGGGGGTGAAACCTGAGGTGTGGTGTGCTTGGCTAGAGGGGGTTATGCGAAGGGTCCTGTCACGGCCTCTTTCCGGTATGTCGTGGTGGCATGTCGGCGCACGAAAACGTGTCGTGGGGCTGTGTCTTGTGGGTACAGTTGTA